GTTTGTTATCACAACATCCAAGAACGAGATGACCGTGATATTCTTTGATACATGTTCACGTGCATGTGGTCAATTTCGAACATAGTTTCTGTAAAAATATTTTATTTATTGTCAAAAGGGTTAAGAACTGCCCATTTCTTTTCGATTGGAGCGATGACTGTAGGTCTTATGAAAAAAAATACATCATTCTTTTGAAACTAAATTTCTGGAATTCCTGCCCTCCAGTGGCACAGCGGTATGTCTGCGGACTTACAACGCTAGAATCCGGGTTTCGATACCCGTGGTGGGCAGAGCACAGATAGCCCATTGTGTAGCTTTGTGCTTAATTACAAACAAACTGGAATTCCTTCAGGATCTCGTTTTTAATAACAATTTTGAAAATAAACCAGTTTTATTAGCCAATAGTTTATTTTTCGTTTCTATTATTATTTTTATTATATTTTTAATGAAAAAGCGAAACTACCACATATTTATGTTTTTGCCAACTTCCTAACATTAACATCACAAATACTTAAAATCATCATCATCTTATTGACATACATTTTAGTGAATCATTTGATTTAGGTGATGATTTTTTTTAAATATCAGTTAAGGGCGATCTTATGTTATTTTTGTTTTTGTCTCTGCAGAGGACCGAGTGAAAATGGGCAGAAGTAGGAAAGATGACGATGTTAAGCCTAACTGTTGCGAGTTTATAAATGGCAAGGTTGATATAACTTGTATAAAATACCCGCGCCCCACTGTGGAATTCAAAGGCCCATTCATGATTCACAGAGTCCCAGTGTACCGACCAAGCTCTTTCATTATCCTAATCACTTCTATAAGTAACCAAAGAGGTTCCGTACCCAAAAATAACTCATTTAAGGACACTCGCCCACGGTACCTGAGCACATGTACCACGTTTAACCTTACTAGCTTCTGAGTTAGGGTACGAACATAGTTTCAAACATAGCGCTCCCGAGAACACGGGGAAGTCCAGGAACCCAAAATCTGATGCCAGATTCGGGTTCAGATCCCATCGTACCTAGGTGAGCTTCCGGACACGTTTTAATCTTCCAGACCACTCCGCCTGCTAGCTCCAAAATTGTGGAAGAAATGTGCGGACAAACAAACAAATGTGAGTTGTAATAATCTCTCCAGATGTACATCACTGTAGCATAAGTCATAAAAAAAACGGGTGTTCAAATACATGTTTAATAAATTCTTAAAATCTTGCAGGAATTCTGTTTCATTTAGTGCAATTGTAAAGCTGCCCGGCATGGCCAGGTGGTTAGGGCTCTCGAATCCCCGTCCAACCAAACATGCTCGCCCTTTCAGCCGTGGGGGCGTTATAATGTTATGGTCAATCCCACTATTCGTTGGTAAAAGAGTAGCCCAAGAGTTGGTGGTGATGACTAGCTGCCTTCCCTCTAGTCTTACACTGCTAAATTAGGGACGGCTAGCGCAGATAACCCTCGTGTAGCTTTGCGCGAAATTCAAAAACAAACAAACTTGTAAAGTTCGACTGTAGGAGTCGCCACCTTTCTTTCGACTGTCTCTTTCCGTCTCTGGCACGGAAGAAACGTCATAGTATTCTGGTGGAGAAAACGAGAAAAAAGAAATAAATAACTCGCCCCTGAATATAAAGAAGTTTCTACTCACCGTGTTATGAGCAGTAATTATCTTGTTCATTAAACTTTGTTAATGTTTCTAGGTACGGGGCAAAAGCTTTGCACTGGAGTTCAGACATGAGGTCAGCTGACCAACAAGCGATCAAACAAGCCTGTGATTGGCTGAGCCGCCACGATTCTCTCGAGGGAAGCAATAATCTGCTTAAAGTGTTGAGGTCAATTTTCGAGAGGAAAAAACATTACGAGTTAAAATCTGGGAATAGTAAGTTTCAACTAAAAGTATTACAACAAAAGTAATAATTAATTACTTTTAAAAAAAACTGCAACCACTCTCCAGGTGTTTAAATTCTTATATTGTAACAGGGACACTTAAAGTAATATTAATTCATAACGAAAAACAACGAACATTGTGTTAACAGCATCACTTGAAAGCTATTCTGTGAGAAACGTGTTGGGCCGAATTAATTTATTCAAAATACAACCATGTAACTTTTACAGTAAGCACCTTTTGATTTTAATAATTACAATGGGAATTTAGGGTTAAAGCAGCAAAATGTTATTGTTATTCGACAAACACTGTTAATTTGTGTTCCCATAAAACAGCAGGGATTTACTTGATAAATACGAGTATTCCTGACCAACCGTTAGAGGTCGTGACCGACTACTTGCAGCAGTGTTGTTTGGGGACCAACATATCAGTTCATACAGTTTTATTTCAAGCACCAAATGAAAACACCGAACCCATAATCAGGTGTGGCCGTTTATGTGACATGACCGAAACAGCGAATTACATACGGGAAGTTGCACGTGCTGGACACGGCAGATTTCACTGGGTTGACACTCGAGGTATGTTTCTATTTTCTTTTGCGCATTACACCGAATTATTGTTTGTAAATTGTCTAAACATGTGATGACTTGTTTATATTATCATTCTGTTACGAACGAGAGCTCAAAATAAAACAAACTAAACTTTACAGGACGTGATATACAGCTCTATATACTTGACTTAAATGTTTGTTATATTAAAATTAATACTTTGACAATAATTATCACAACGAGCTATAATACCATGTTTAACCTGTTCTAAAACTTTAAGATAAAATTTATGATCACGTCATTGATGTTATGTTTGTGGTCCATAACATAATACTTTAAAGCTGCAACAGTGAACTGTACCAGATGACGCATTGAAAAGTTGAAATAATCCCAAAAATAGTGGGTGTTTAACAATTAACTGTAGAACCATGTTAATCATAACTCTCATGGTTAACAATTAACTGAAGAACCATGTTAATCTTAACTCTCGTTATTTATAATTAACTGTAGAACCATGTTAATCATAACTCTCATGGTTAACAATTAACTGTAGAACCATATTGATCTTAACCCATGTGGTTTACAATTAACTGAAGAACCATGTTAATCATAACTCTTGTGGTTAACAGTCATCACATCACTCTGGAACGTGTTCTAAACCCATTTGTTAGAACTGTTAAGTGAACTGAAAGACATTATATAACAGGGTCCTTGATGATACAAACTGTTTTGAATGTTCAAACCCCTACCATATTTAACTTTACATTTTTGGTTGAAATTAAACTTTTGGTCTTTTTAAATGACATTACAACAAGTATTATAACATCAGTATGTTCACTTACAGGGTATATCAAAGAAAGTGAGGATATTACAAACATCCAGAAGGAACAAGCCAAGATTGTTCACTACACCGAAAGATGTCACCAGCTTCTGCAAGATGTACATAACAAGTACAAGAATCCGACCTGAATCAGTATGGTAGATACTGACAACTTCTGTAGGTTCTACATAACAAGTACAAGAATCCTACCTGAATCAGTGTAGTAGATACCAACAACTTCTGTAGGCTCTACATGACAAGTACA